TTTGTCTTGAAGAAAGAAATAATTGTCTTATGCAGTATGACACTAAACATATACAATTGTTATTATTATTTTTTGAGACAGGGTCTTACTCTGTCACCCAGGCTAGAGTGCAGTGGCCCGATCTCAGCTCACTGCAACCTCTACCTCCCAGGTTCAAGCGATTCTCCTGCCTCAGCCTCCCGAGTAGCTGGGATTACAGCCTCCCGGCAACATGCTCAGCTAATTTTTTTATTTTTAGTAGAGACGGGGTTTCACCATGTTGGCCAGGCTGGTCTTGAACTCCTGACCTCAGGTGATCCACCCTCCTTGGCCTCCCAAAGCGCTGGGATTACAGGCATGAGCCACCCTGCCCGGCAGCATATACAATTATTTAAAAATATTTCACCAAATATTATTGTAGTATAAGAGTTGAAGTTTATTCGAGTAATCATTTGTATGAATAATGCAAGGTAAACTTTTATTTTGCCAAAAATAAGGAGGTGAGTTGATTCAGAGCTTATCAGGTACAGTCTTAAAGTAAGTGATTTATTCCTGCATTGAAAACTAAAATACAAAGACATCTGGTGGATGTCAAAAATTTATGACTAAAATCTATTTTTACCTGACCTCCAAGGTTGATATCACATTTAATATTAAGGTGTTTTTTATTCTATACTAAAAGTGATTATTTTATGCCATCTCTGCTGAAAATTTTTTTAAAAAATTATTTAAGTGTTTAAGTATGGTCAGATTTTAAGTATCTAACATTCTCCAGTAGTTCCCCCTCCCTTGCCTATTCCTCTCCACCCCAGTCTCTTTCTAGTAGGATTCCTATTGCTGGCTACCCAGTCATTACCATTCTAACCATTTAAGGTAGCTCTGCTTGGTTTATTTATTCTGAGTACTGCAATTCAGTTTCCCTTTATCCTGGCTTCCTATGGCAAGTTGACAAACCAATTTATTTTTCTCCCTTTTATTTCAACAACTCGTAATTTAGATTGGTTAGGAGGATATAATGTAATCAGGACACAACCTTTTCCCCTCAGAATCTGTATTTGTGAGACTTCCTCCTTTCCCGGCTGAACGTGCTGAAGTCAGACCGAGTACCTTGTGAAGGACTTCAGCCCCCACAGTTCCCTGTGTGCGCATGCCCTCTCATCTTACAGTTGTCAAAGTGCTTTTGCCAGAGCGGTCACATAATCAACCTGAAAGAAGAAAATAAATACTGTATACTTTTAAATTTTATCGATTCTTAAAAACTGGACACTCAAAGGTAACTGCTACTAAGATTTTGTTACTTGAAATTGGGTTATTGCATGTAAAAGAATATCTATTGTGTGTGGTGGGGGAGGGGAAGGAGGTATCTATTTCTCACTTTGCTGTAAATAAGCAAAAACAAAAACAAAACAAAAACCCGAAAAAACAAAAAACAACCCCAAGAACACAAAACAAACTATACAGGCAGTTGCTGAGAGACGTTGCATACTACCTTTGTAAATTTTATCTTAATCTATTGCTTACCTTTTGTTTGAAAAGGTCTTATTTATTAAAGGTGTGTCTTGACCTTGACAGAATGAATTTATGCAGAAAGCGAAATTTATATTTTTAAGGAGTGTTGAGAAGAGAAATGGGTGTTCCTGGTATAAAATTTTTAAAATTCAATGAATATATTAACATTGATTACAGCTATTATAAAATGTTCTGAGTCCAGCTTACTTTTTGGCTTTTTTGCTGAGGTATAGCATTAATTTTTCCATGAAGAGCATGTAGTTTAAACTGAAGGCATTAACAACAAGCATTGATAAAAGCAACCGGAAAAGCAGAGTGATATTAAAATGATAATCAAATGCCTATTTCAGCCATGATGATATGGCTATTATAAAGACAATTCTAGCTCACTGAAAGTGACTCAAATCTCAGATTATAATGGTTTACTGCAGCACTGTTTAAACCAAGTATGAAAATGTCTGTTTCTATGACCATCTTCTTTGGCAGCAATAGAACTTTGTCTTTCTAAATCAAAGCTTCATTTGCCTCTTTGTATTGTATTTTGCAATACCGATCAAAGCCATTGTTTTAGACCAAGGGAACTGAGGAACACGAAAGCAATCTTAAACAGATTTTATTGGTAGTAGCCGGCAATCTGTGTTGTATATTATATTGAGTTGGGTTTTTTCCCTGGGGGGGTTGAAGGGAGGAAAGGCAGGGGAATGAGGAATAGAAGGGAGAGCAAGGTGGCTGCGAAGCATTTCCTTTAGCCCACCACTATTTTGTGTATGAAACTTTGAAATAAAAGATATTAATGAACCATTTTAATGATAGTTTTTAATAAAATAATCGAACTACTTTTAACCCCATTTCTTGTCTGATATATTTTGCATAATAGTTAATAATTTCATTTTCTGATACATTGATTTTAACAATAGTTATTATCATGAGGATGTCTAAAGCCAGAGCTTCTGTGTGTATCTGAATGCCTTTTCACAAGTGTCCTGAGAAAGATTCCTCTCCAAGTATCTGGGTTAATTAAGTAACTGCATTAAATTTATTAATAACTTAGTTGCAATTGTACTGAATCATCATCTAAAAATAATTATATGTTTGGTCATATGCCCCTAACATTCAAAATATTTGTTTTTAGGGTCTCAGAAGTGTAATATTTATATATTTAAAGCAATTAACATGTTGTAAGGACAAGCTAACTACATGTATGGCCATCTCTGGGTTTTGAGTGATTAATTTTCATCCTTGAATAAGAAAACAGGCTATATGGTAGAGGTGAATATAGCCCTTCTATGTGAGATGGAAAATACCATACACTCCTTATATGGCTAAATGAAGCAGTGATGGCAATGCACTATAATTACAATGTATGAAAATTTGGGACTTTGTACTCCTCTATTTTTAACACTTTTGCTAGCATATGGTAATTCAGGGTCTTCAAACCATAGTGTTTCGCTGCTAATACTAGTGATAAGAGAATGGATTCTAAATTTGCCAAAGTCTTGTGACCAACAGCAGCAGGAGGATTCAAAATTGAAAATCTGGCAACCCCAGAATTATCTTGACTGTCTACTTAAATCTCAGGGTTTTTTTTAAAGCCCCACCCCCACCCTATCTCACAGGCGCTCGCTCGCTCGCGCGCACTCTCTCTCTCTGACCTTAAATCCAACCAGAAGCATTTCTCCACTCTGCAGAGAAATTCTCAGGCTCCTGTTGAGACCTGAAGCACTGAGATGCCAAGAAATCTCTTGTGCGGCAGAATTGGAGACAAGAAAATTGGGGAATAAGCAGAAAAACCATAATCCTTAGAGTAACAAGAAGCAAGCACTTCCAAACGTTTCAGTAGGTTTTTACTTCTTTAAAAACGTTTTTTTTTTAAACTGTCTCCTAACAAAATGGAGTAGCTGCAGCTACTGGGAGGCCAGAGAATGATTGTGCAGCTGAGTCCTTCTAACAAATGCCAAGGATTTCCTCCCTCGTGGTTCGCTGCAGCTAAATGAAACAATTACCAACGCAAGAAGGCAGTTTGCTAATAAAGAGGGCTGAAACTGTTTTTTTGTTTGTTTTGTTTGTTTTTTTAAAAAGTGTTCGAGCTGGGGAAGGGAGAAGAAAGGGTCGTGTGTGCGGTGTCTTTTTAACCTTGCTGAAGGACGCAGCAGTATTTATTGACGTATGCAAATAACTGGGGGAGGGTGGTGCTTGGGAAAAAACAGGAACCAGAATCAGTTTCTCATTGCAGGGCGAACGCTCTGAGTTCCGGTGAAGGGAAAAGAGACGTGGCGAAATTGCTGTCTTTCTGTCTTATAAGCACATCTCTCACTAGTACAGAAAAGGAACCAAGACTTCTGAAAGGGTGAAGACGCTCTCACAGTATCTTTAGAGACCTTGCTCGACACCTTCCCTACCCCCCACCCAACAGCCCGACCTGTTCTTCTAAATGGGAGATTATGGATTTGCATTGCAATTGGCTAGTAGCGGTGGCGATGGATTTTCGCAAGTGAAACACCCGCCCGCTTCAGCGAGGGACATTCATGATCACATTGACAATAACGCGTCTCTCTTTTTTCCCGTTTCAGCTGCGCAAACCATGCAGGATGATTTACTGATGGACAAAAGCAAAACCCAGCCCCAGCCCCAGCAGCAGCAGCGGCAGCAGCAGCAGCAGCAGCAGCAGCCCCAACCTGAGTCCAGCGTATCCGAAACCCCGTCCACGCCCCACTCCTCAGAGACCCCCAAGCCGGAGGAAAACAGCGCAGTGCAGGCCCTCAGCCCAGCCGCTGCCCCGCCGGCCCCCAACGGCTCGGACAAGATGCAGATGGAATCACCGCTCCTGCCAGGCTTGAGTTTCCATCAGCCCCCTCAGCAGCCGCCGCCGCCTCAGGAGCCCGCGGCGCCGGGCGCGTCGCTGTCGCCGTCCTTCGGCAGCACCTGGTCCACGGGCACCACGAACGCGGTAGAGGACAGCTTCTTCCAGGGGATCACCCCAGTCAACGGGACCATGCTCTTCCAGAACTTCCCGCACCATGTCAACCCAGTCTTCGGAGGCACTTTCTCCCCGCAGATCGGCCTGGCGCAGACCCAGCACCACCAGCAGCCG